CACTGGCTTGTGGTCCAACAAGAAAATGACCATCTTGTAAATGAAAGAATATTGTTCTGAAATTCAGTCGAAACACGCGTTATAAAGTGGCTAGGTATAAAGTCTCATGGCAGTAAACATGCAAACGCATACGTATTAAGAGAGGGGTGAATGCTGTTTTACGCCACAGTCAACAATATCCTATGTGTCCTGCATTATTATAGTCTGAGCCAATCAAACCAGTGTCGAAGGGGCTCTATCAGACCCAATTGGCCATGTAGTGACGGCATACCCTTTGACGCAGTGACTGAAAGTGTTTATTGAATCGACCAGTGAAGATTCCGGGGTAGAATAGGTCTTCAGCAACCCATGCTTGCCGTAAAAGGTGACTATGCTTGTCGTAAAAGGCGACTATGCTTGTCGTAAAAGGCGACTAACGGGATCGGGTGGTCAGGCTCGCTGACTTGGTTGATGCATGTCATCAATCCCAATTGCGTGGATTGATGCTCATGATATTAATCACTGGATTGTCTGGTCCAGACTCGATTATTTACAGACCGCAGTCATATAGCTGGAATATGACTGAGTGCGGCGTTAAACAACAAACCAACCAACAACCAAGTTTATTGAATCATTATCGGTTGTTTATTACGTGATAACTATAACAAAAATACCGCTTTCGTGTGGTTGTGAAGAGAGCGTCTGTCCCGAAAGCGGAAGGTCTATGATTCGATCCCTGGCCGCGTCAAACCAAATGACTTTAAGATGGTACTTCTTGTTACCATGCCTGGCGCTCGTAAATGCGGGAATAAAAGAAGGACTGGTCTGCTCGAACACCGTATGGTGTGTCTGAGCGGAGTTTATCCATGTAATACTGCGGCATGGTATCTCAGTAGGATTGCACTATAAAATTGGCATTAGTCCGGACTAATACAAGCAGCCACACACACAAGTCTCTATCTTTGTTCCATAATCTTAAACGCAACGTTATACAGTATTACACTATTACACCACACCATGACAAAAAACAAAACGATTTGTCTTGACAAATATCGAATGGCGCAAAACCGTCTTGTATTGGAAGCAAAGTTATCAGAAACCACTTTGAAATATGTTCTGTATATTGTATTGCGTTGTATGTAAACCTGATTCTGGTAAACTTGACATATGCCAATAACACAATTTCTGCCACAAAGGACAACGAAATCACATGTGATTACAATCTTGCCAATCGTTATTAATATACCGACGTTCACTTCATCTTCCTTATTAACTTTAAAATCAAATTTGATATTTAACTAAGCATTTATAATGAAATCAGTGTCTTTCTTTTATCAGAGCTACCCACGCGGACGGTTCAATTACGACAGTACAAGGAGACCTTTCAGTTGCAAGTAGGGTAATTGTTGGCGTTGTTAGTAGTACAGAGCAAGTGAACTAGTTGGAAGATGATGAGTTGGCAAATATATAAGTGTTCTACAGCTGACCCCGCTATTTACAATGAACATCTTTCATGTGATTCCTTACATCAGGATGGGATCTTAAAACTAAAGTTAATAGGGCTTGCATGAGAAACGTACAACCACATGAAATAATATCATAATTTCTGAAGAAATTTCTTGGGGACAAATAACATTCTGTTTCATATAAGGACATAAATCAGATCATTTCATCTCACGCAGGGCTTTCCAATGATATGAAGCTCCTCTATCCCCTCTCTATGGTCAAGTTTGGTTGTTGGTTGGTTGGTTGGTTGTTTAACGCCGGACTCAGCAATATTACAGCTATATGACGGCGGTCTGTAAATAATCGAGTCTGGACCAGACAATCCAGTGATTGACATCATGAGCATCGATGGGATCGATGACATACATCAACCAAGTCAGCGAGCCTGACCACCCGATCCCGTTAGTCGCCGTTTACGACAAGCATAGTCACCTTTTACGGCAAGCATGGGTTGCTGAAGACCTATTCTACCCCGGAATCTTCACGGGTCGGTCAAGTTTGGTCCGCTGGTCAATTCTAAATTGTCCCGCTCTGCCTTAATTATTTCACGTTATGAACCCACCACATACGTTTGTGCATGGTAATTTCGCATTCAGAAAAGGTATCAATTCACGATAGAATAGTACTGTTGTCAATGATAAAAATATATGATTTAATGAAAAATAACTTTTTTGGAAATATACATTGCGCTCACAGCATGTATTGTACAAAGATACGAGAAACCGGAAACTGACGCCCAAGTCACCAACATCCCTTGTGTCAGCTGTTTAATAACCACACGTGGACTTGGCAAAACTGTGACAGAAACCTTGAGCAACGAGTACCACTACTTCCGATGATTACAACTGCAGGGCACGTAAGATGGCATCCACACAAAATATATTCGCATTTTAAAATCAGCATTGGTGCTGTGGGGATTGAGGTGAAGAGAGGTGAAGTGGTATTTATTTCATGGTTAGAACATTCAAGGCGTCAACAACGTTTTCAAAAAGTTTTATGATAGACATGTGGAGGACATTTCCAAGTCGGAAGTATCAGTGAAAAAAATCATGGCCGATGCAATTCACTTATTTGATTTGTACAGTATGTTGCCGTGTTTTTTTCGGGTGAACTCTTGACTTGCCTTTTCATGTGTTTATGTCGGATGCCACTGGTGGGGAAGAGTATTATCACCTTTTCTCGAAAACCTAGTAGCATTAATATTTGTTTGTGTGCATCAATCCTACTTGTGGCCGATCCACACATTTCCCACGTGAACTATTTGAGGCTATAACATTCGTGTATGTTGATTTAACAGGGAGTTGCGAATTTATATTATTTCCACGAGTCACATACGACCCGTGAAGATTCCGGGATGAAATAGGTCTTCAGCAACCCATGCTTGCCGTAAAAGGCGACTATCCTTGTCGTAAGAGGCGACTAACGGAATCGCGTGGTCAGACTCACTGACTTTGTTGATGCATGTCATCGATCCCAAATGCTTGGATCGATGCTCATGATATTAATCACTGGATTGTCTGGTCCAGACTCGATTATTTTTACAGCCGTCATATAGCTGGAATATTGCTGAGTGTGGCGTTAAACAAACAAACAAACAAACAAACAACGAGTCACATACGGAGGTTGTTTTGACCTGCCTTTGCATGTGTTTGTGTCTGGTGACACTATTTGATATTGATTCAAAAACATGTATGTTTATTACAAGGTCGGAATCTTACGATGGATTCTGATAGTAGGGATTTGTTATGATAATGGAAATGTGTTTTCCGCTTGTATTTAAGAACTCTTATACGATTTATATAGCGACGGGACCCGTGAAGACCCGGGGTAGAATACCCATGCTTGTCGTAAGAGGCGACTAACGGAATCGCGTGGGCAGGCTCACTGACTTGGTTGATGCATGTCATCAATCCTAAATGCGTGGATCGATGCTCATGATATTAATCACTTAGTTATCATTCCAGACGCGATTATTTATACAGATCGCCGTCATATAGCTGTAATATTGCTGAGTACGTCGTTAAACAACAAACAAACAAACTATATAACGACGTGCAGCATGTGTTTGGCAGCTTGTACTACTACGTACATATGCCAGTTTTATAGTGCTAGCCCACCGAGATACCATGCTGCAGTTTGAGATGGATAACCTACCTACACATGATACTAGATCCGAGTATAGTTACAGTGCATCAGACAAAGTGTGCATACGAAGGTTTGGCACACCGACCTGTCTAATGTGAATCAAGAGATCAGAATACACAAGCTGAAGGGTATATAGAACTGCGTACACAGACCTACAATTATAACATTAACACACAAACGAGGTAGATATCGTCTTACAGTCATCGGGTGCAATACTGAAGATGCGGCGACGGTGTCAATTTCACACAAAATCACTAGCCTTTGCATGTGTTTGTGACGGGTGTTTCGTGATGTAGCGAATAAGCCCTAAGCGTACCTGTCTGATGTTGATGAATATGCTCCTTGTGGAACGTTAGCGTCAGAAGATTTGAAGCTCTTAAAAATCCCCAGACTAAAACTGAAATATTTTGGCCACAGAGCATTCAGTTATACAAGTCCTGCTCTGTAACTATTTTCCGTTTCAGATCAAGATCTCTGCCTCAAGTCAGAAAATACTGTTGACTATGAAATATGCTGCTGAATGTTTGTCCTTCATGTACTGTTATTGTATCCATCTTGTTGTAGCGCTTACAGCATATACCGTGCGAATGGAATTAAGGATTTATAAATACACATTATTATCATTATTAGTATTATTATTAATATTAAACAGGAACAGTACTGTAATTTGGAACAGTTCATAGGGTGTTCCCAGTTGAATGTATGAAAACACAAACACAGATGCTGAAAGCACCATAAGTTCGCAACCTATGCATCGACATGTAACGGAAGAGACGAATTGTTGTCATCATGATCAATACATTGCATTAGTGCACAAATTACAAGCAATAAGCATGCTTTTCTGTTCATGAATTGTTGTTATAAGTACATTTGAAAATAGAGAAAAGAATATAATTGCCTTATCTTTGTTGCTGCTATGTTACAACTTCAAGGTGAGGTGAGGTGAAATGGGTTTAACATCGCGTACAAGATTATTGCACTTACATAGCGACGTGTGTGTGTGCGGCTGCTTGTACTAGTCCGGACTGATGCCGATTTATAGTGCTTGCCCATTGAGATACCATGCCGCAGTTTTACATGATTTACCCCACTCAGACACAGTATACTGACTCCGAGCCGACCAGTCCTTGTTTTAGCCCCTTAATGCCGAGCGCTAGACAGGGTTACAACAAGTACCATCTTTTAACGTCTTTTGATATGACGCGGCCGGGGATCCAACCCCGGACTTTCCGCTCTCCGGGCGGACGCTCTACCACTAGATCACGGAGGCGGTCTTCACAACTTCAAGACTTTTGTGGCCAAATATAGACGCGAGCGATAAAAAATTTCTGTTGTCAGTTGATGTGACATATCAAACATTTCTGTTTCAGACAAATCATGGATGCAAGCGCTTACGCTTTGTTAGCCTTAGTTACCTTCTGTGGACTTGGTTGCGGTATATCAGATTTTGGTAAGTTGGCTACAAACAAATTAATAGATATTTACAAGCGTTGTCATTAAATCTTGCTTGCTACTCTTGTCGGTAAAACCCTAACGCCATTGTGTGTCATTTGAATCATGGTATACTGTAACACTGTCACTCGAAGTCTAGATATATATATATGTCCAGATAAGTAAGTGTAATCACCATCAAAATTATAGTCTGAAATCAGTGTCTCCGAAGCTGAGGCCTTTTACAAGTGTAGGCAACATTGAAGGACGGTCGGGATATCAGTTTTCATACCTGTGCTTGTGGACCCCAGTGGCTTTGGGTCTTTTCTCGAAAAAGAAATAGCTGGATTTGGCCGAAAAACTATACTTTGTTTCATTTTGTCGGTGTGTGGGGCATCTGGTTGTATTTCGTAACGTTATGACATCGTAATACGGCAGGACTGATTCTAAACAAACGTGACGTACCCTAGACTAGAGTAATGTTCCTGTTATAAAGAGCAATTACTGCAACGGATTACCGCGATAAGAATATCACTGACGAATGTATTTTCCTGCGTAGACATATTCCCTTGATAAATTATGTTCAAGGAATTGATGTTTTGCCTGTATGGTAGTTAAGCCACTGACTAAAAACAAGTTTCAGTTGGAAATATATTACCTGTTGTACATGTCCGACTGACTAATCACTGAGCTTGTGACTACATAATATATTAATACGATAATTCCAGGAAAACTGGCAATGACCATCTGTGGGAGACCTGTTTGGACGATACAATTTAAGAATTACATTATATGAGAAAGATTTTATCACGCTTGTGAGTTTTGGTGTGGTAAATATCCTGAATAAGGAATAAACACACTATATTTAAGTGTAGATTACCAGGGTTATCTTAATACAATGTTTATTCCTAATACATAGAATAGTATGGTCAGCTATATCATGTTAATCATTATTGTTGATTCAAGTACCCCAATATTTAGGAACCCTCGTCATTGCAAAAGATAAATACTATTTGCACACATGAATGTGCCATGATCAAATGCAAGCGCGCTTCCCCGATACGACCAGGAGTCTCGATGTCCATGCTACGTACGGTATACTTGGTTGGTTGGTGGTTTAACGCCGCACTCAGCAATATTCCAGCTATATGACGGCGGTTCGTAAAATAATCGAGTCTCGACCAGACAATCCAGTGATTAGTATCATGAGCATCGATCCACGCAATTGGCATCAGACAAGTCAGCGAGCCTGACCAGCCGATCCCGTTAGTCGCCTTTGTACAGTATGCTAGATTCATTATACTAGAACACATATAGAACATAATTCATCACGAGTGTGTTTTTAATATGAGTCTCTGTTTATCAGTTAATTTTCGATTAACAAGACGCTGTTGTTAATGTTTCCGATAATAAAAAACACCCGATTTTTTAGGGTTCCCAATTTAGAAATAAATACATCGAAATAGTGGAAATATTACTCTGCATTAAGCGTAGAGATACATTTATTCTATGGTCATGTGAAGCAAAACAAATAACCCTTTTAACTTCTTTAGGAAAATCCATTCGCCGAGAAATAATCTCCTGGAACTATCCGACACAAAATGATTGATGGATGTGTTGTAGCATATTTGAAACTGTAGAACGGTAATTACAACATTAACGATTCATTCAGTTGTATTTGATTATACTTGTGGAGTATTGTCACAACTTAAGTCATGTGGAACAAGATGACTGTGCTCTCACTTGCGAAACGTCACGCGGGCGGATAGGGCACAACAGGACATATTAGTCGGTGTCACTGTCACTTTCCATGAAAATCAGATGTCGTTTGACTGGAACTGGACATGGGGGTATAACAGTGATAATCGTTATGTGTTAGACAGTTACATAACCAGCAAACATAGTGTTGACGCCACGGGTAATATGAGTAATTGGAGATTGGAGATTGTTGCCTCCTGGCGATATGAACATTACGCAAGCATCAACTGTGCGTGGGCCGCTATAATACGACACGGGAGTTTTAAGAACAAATCAAGTTGGGCTGTTTCCAGCTTGTCACGGTATTTAATGCGTTTGCTTTCTGAAAGTATTTTGGATATTTTATTTGATCACAGAATAGTTGATGTCTAACGCTTGCTGCGTTACACTTTTTTCATGAGCGTGGACGGTATTACTTTCTCCGATGAACAACCGGCGCCGATGTGAAACAGTACGTCATCATTCGTTAAGAAATCGCTCATTAAAATTTTATCTACAGGCTGTGTCTGTGATATTCAATTCCAAAATCGGTACTATCAGTCTGTAACCATCTGATAACCTTCAATAGAAATTTGGTTACGCTATTAACAATGTATCTCCCGCTCGTATCTATTAAATGTTATCTCCAACATCAACATGATCAAAAAGGTGAGGTGTGTGCAGCCACTTGTACTAGTCCGGACTGAAGCCGGTTTTATAGCGCTAGCCCACGGAGATACATACCATGCCTCAGTTTAACATGAATACCCCACTCAGACACAGTATACTGACTCCGAGACCCTAAATGCCGAGCGCCAGACATCGTAACACCAAGTACCATCTTTTAACGTCTTTTGGTATGATGCGGCCGGGCATCGAACCCCAGACCTTACGCTCTCCTGGCGGACGCTCTACCACTAGGCCACAGAGGCGGTCTACATGATCAAAGAAATCAATATTCTTCCGTTATTTGTATAAACATGGCCAGTGAAGAAAGTGTCGTTTCCGGTTTCCAAATTCGGAAAGTCATTGGGGTTTGCCATACATGTTTTTACGTCATAGGCTTAAGTCGTGGTGCTTTAGTTAAATGATAAAGAATGTCCCACAATCATTTATCATAATCCCAGTCTTCAAATATTATTTAATTTGAAGTCCTGCGTGTTATTTTCACCATGCTTACGGTTGCGTCTTTTCAAGCGAGAGTTGGCTGGTTTGTTGCACGGTTTGTTGTTTAACGCCGCACTCAGCAATATTTCAGCTATAAGACGGCGGTCTGTAAATAATCGCGTCTGGAACAGACAATCCAGTGATTGATATCATGAGCATCGTTCCACGCAATTGGGATCGATGACATGCATCAACCAAGTCAGCGAGCCTGACTACCCGATCCCCTTAGTCGCCTTTTACGACAAGCATAGTCGCCTTTTACGGCAAGCATGGGTTGCTGAAGACCTATTCTACCCCGGATCTCCACGGGTCTTTTCAGCGAGGGACTGACCATTTAATACTTAGGGTGGAGAGAAGGGGAACCATTTTTATTTTGTAAAACTATTGTCCCTACAAACATCTCATTAACCTGGATCTTACCGTTGATCTTCCCTTTGGAATCGTCCGGATTAACGGAACTGAGATACTGAATACCTTCCTTTTCCTCTTTTTGGAATTTCGTTCTTTATATATCGTTCTTTAAATAGTAGACCCGTGAAGATTCCGGGGTAGAATAGGTCTTCAGCAACCCATGCTTGCCGTAAAAGGTGACTGCGCTTGTCGTAAAAGGCGACAAACGGGATCGGGTGGTCAGGCTCGCTGACTTGGTTGATGCATGTCATCGATCCCAATTATGTGGATCGATGCTCATGATGTCAATCACTTGATTGTCTGGTCCAGACTCGATTATTTACAGACCGCCGTCATATAGCTGGAATACTGCTGAGTGCGGCGTTAAACCAACCAACCAACTTTATATTGTAACATAACGAATACGGCCAGAACGTTTGTTCATTACTTTATGATTGTCTGTTATAGGTGTTACTGATGACAGAGAGGGATTGAACGAAGATTCTGTAAATTCAAGGAATTTTCCACTGCCATCAGATTTAAAGCGACAGTGGATAACAATGCTTCCGGATCAAAAGTTCCGCCATGTTGGAATAGGAAAAAGGACTCTGGATTTCTTTCGTTTTCACAATAAAATCGGAAAACGTCTGGATCTCCTTACTCTAATTAGAAGCAATCTACACCATTCACGTGAAATTCTCAGGAAGAACTACAGACCAAATCCAAATGAAAGGTCGGCCTATAGATTTGGCTTACCCCTAGCGCCTGTACGCAGGTCACTCCGGACCCGGAACTACGGTCTGCGCATGGCTAATGGTCGTTTGTCAGGTATCTACCTCGGCGCGCGGTCACAAGTGGATCCCATGATGCTGCAATTAGGATTGGGGAAATAGAAGAAGCATCCCCGAAAACTAATCAGTTTGAAACGAGTTATTGAAGTATCATGTTCACAAAGAACTTTTCGAAAATTTGAATGTCTATGGTACTGGTTAACCTACGAATCTGACACTATATATTTCATAATTATATGTTTTAGCCTATGTATTAACTATGCCAAATCATGGGTTTGCATAGTTGTATTAATCATGCAAGTCTGGTAGGTTTGATTTCTTAATCACTCATTTCTTGGAAACGAAAGAAATCATGGTAGTGTATTTCAACTGCGAGAATAGCTTCGTTGTTAAAACATCTTCCAAAACTAGTTTCTGCAGGCAATTGTTAAACTTGTGGAGAATTCTGACAGAGAGCTTAGATGTTGTTTTATTCTACTACGTAGGCAAAGTGTTCAGTATGTCTCATTGCAAAGAACAATGTCGTGGAAACTACGGTTGGGCACAATGAAACTCATCATTGGAAAACCTGATAGTTTAATCATCAGCGAAAATAGAGTCCTAAATGTCACGAATCTGCGTTCAAATCATTTATGATTGGTTATCAGCGCTGTTGAAACTTCAGTATTCAATGAATCTCAAGTAAGTTGTATTTAAAAGCGTTCCGCTTTATCCAGAAAATGCCATTCCCATAAACATGTAAGTTAATTCCTATTGCTTATTGGGTTGGTGCTGACTTTTATTATAGTCGATATTTAAACACAAGCTTTTCTGGGACTTTCAGCATCATTCAAATAGGAGACAGACAACGGGAGAAATAATGTCAATGCTTCCCAGCGATAAATACAATATTTGCATGAGGGTTACATTGTGTTGATCGTTTGTGTAGCCGTCCTTAATGACGTCACGTCTCATCAGTGCATTGTCGCGAATAATTTGATACGACGTCACTCATTGTTATCCGTGCCCATAGGACACAACCCCCGACATGTTCGGAGTTGGTTGCTTCTGGAAACATTTGTGTTTCACAAAAATGATGGGCCAATGGGTTTACGACCGCTGAGAGATGTGCAAGGATCTACTGATTCGATACGAAACCTAAATTCGGTACGATTATAATTCTTGGCCAGCCTGTGATATAAGTAATATATGCTTTATATTTATCCAGCGTTTTGTGTTTGTGTACCAATCGGTTTGATACCAATAACTGCTTATCCAAAATTATTCTAAATATCGAGACTCGGTAGTGAATATATAATGTTTTCTTTTCTTTATCTGCAGTTCACGTTACAAAATATGGATGACTTAGTATTTAGTCAAATTTAATTGAAAAAAAAGTACCTCCCCCATACAAGGAAATTGCATAGGAGACAAAAATACTATTTCCCTTCGGTTGCCTAGTAATAAATTCCAACCCTTTATAAAATAAGACTTTGAAAGTGTATAATTATTTTTTGTAGCCTTTGATAAGACTGGCCCTTAAGATGTCCGACCCAAATGGCGACAGGGAATAGCGGCATTATTGACATAATTGCGTCTGTCCTACTCATGCTGTGATACCGGTAATATCTACCGGTACCTTGTAATTGCAAAAGTGGATCGATGTACTTTTTTGTTTCGTTTCCCGAGTGTTTGTTTTGTCGCAGAATTGAACAGTAACCATGAACGTATTAACACACTCTTCGTCATATGAAACAATATGATGTTATTTATTGCTAGAGACATATTTGACAAGCATGTTTATTTTTAATGTCACGTAAAAGATCCAGGTTGAACCTTTGGATGGGTATACAATATCGTGCTCAACACTTGCAATGGATGTTCAGTTTCTTTGTCGGTCGTTTTAACAGGAATTGATTTCAGACATGATTGTTTGTGAAAATAATCAAACTTACATACATTAATTGCCTTTTAATCAATATTATATTCCTTAAAGGAATATCGACTGAAATGTTTCAGAGCGAGTACAGCGTAAGTGTATATGAATAATCACTCAATTAATTACGTCAGAGGCATGCATGAATCCACGATACATGCATTTTACTTCGAAGTACAGTTCCACAAACATCAATCCAGCCTGTCAAGTACGGCAAGCTGTCGTTTTGTACTTAGGGGCGTTGGGATAGCCTAGTGGTGAAAGCGTTCGCTCGTCACGACGATGACCCGGGTTCGATTCCCCTCATGGGTACAATGTGTTAAGCCCATGTCTAGTGTTCTCCGCCGTGATATTGCGGGAACAGGGCTTAAAGCGGCGTAAAACCATACTCACTCACTTTATGTACTTTTCTTACATTGCTAAACGAATTATAAGTTACCTCAGATTTCGTAAGAAGTAAAACCTCGTATTGCGGACACTGCCGAAACCATTTATATCGCACGGATTAACCACTTTCCGGATTAGCGTATCATGGGAAGGGATAAATGACCTTTGTATCATTGTGTAAGCGTTCGTATTAATGGGATTCTGACTAAACAGCTACCGGGATTTCAATGTATTCGAATTCGTTCAGGAGATGGACAATTAGGTAACGTTTTTGGAAATAATTTACAGTACACTCACCCTCTGAATACAGGAGGGTTTTTTTCCAGTCATACTCAGATTGAGATTTAAATATATTTCTGATGTGTATTATGTTCACGCCAGTTGCTGCGACGTGTAGGCATTGTCATATTATGTGGATCATTATTTGCTTAACGTCCAATTCTCGTATCCCATGGTTACGCTTGTGCATTGTGTTGTCAGTCACAGAGCACACAGAGCACTCGCCGTGACAAATTAAAACGATATCAAGACAATGTGCGCATTCCTTTAAAAGTGCGCTACCATGCAGCTACATGTACTAAAGCGTTTCTAAACCTGTCATGAGATTAATCTTACTTGACTGTCCACTAAGTACTGACTTAATTATTCATAATATTAATAGTTATTGTTCCTTTCATGTGACATCTTATCATACATAATATTTTATTCATAAATTATAGTATAACTACACATGTTAAACATGTCTTTCTTCGACAATTCATGTATCTCCGACTACCATTGAAAAGGCCAATAAATAATGGTTTGGGGACGATGTGTCTTTGTTCGTTGTTCACAGTGACGGGAAAGTAGCCACATGCGTGGATGCAAATAAGCATTGTTTTATGTACAATAAGAATAACAAGTTGTTGCATCTTAAAGAGCAGACTATCCTCCTGGGTCTGGTGCTCTGTTCTGTCTGCGCGGTGGGTAGCCTAGTGGTTTAAGCGTTCGCTCGTCACGCCGAAGACCCTAGTTCGATTTCCACATGGGTACAATGTGTGAAAACCATTTCTAGTCCCTCCGTGAGATTCCTGGAATATTTCTAAAAGCGGGTTAAAACCAAACGTCCCAATCAGCAATATTCCAGCTATATGACGGTGGTCTGTAAATAATCGAGTATGGACCAGACAATCCAGTGACTGACATCAAAAGAATCGATCTACGCAATTGGGATCGATGACATGCATCGAGTCAGTGAGCCTGACCACCTGATCCCGTTAGTCGCCTCTTACGGGAAGCATAGTCGCTTTTTACGGCAAGCATGGGTTGCTGAAGACCTATTCTACCGTAAATATTCACGGGTTTAAGACCCGTGAATATTTACGGTAGAATAGGTCTTCAGCAACCCATGGTCAGGTAAACATGGGGCGGAGTTAGCGAGCCGTCTCAAGTGTTAGGCTTCCAGGTCAGGTGCTATGACCAGGTTGTAATTCAGCGGATTGACCGACAATGTCTACATGATTTTACGTCGTTGCCACTACCACTCGTGGACAGTAAATGCACCCTGAGCACTGTAAAGAAGCCACACATCCGCCGGTAGATGACCAGATGGTGGAACGACGAATACGTACAAACACTCGAAACAATACAAATGTCAAAACGTGTGGTGTCACCCTGGGCAAGTGACTTAGATCAAATGTGCCTCTGTTCTTCCAGCAGTTAATGGGTACCCGAAATGTGAGGTGGGTGTAAAACCTTCTAGCGCATCATGGGTTGTAGGCATGGGCGATATACTCCCCTGGGAGATTGATTTGTTTGTTTATTTGTTGTTTAACGCCGCACTCAGCAATATTTCAGCTATATGACGGCGTCTGTAAATAATCGAGTCTGGACCAGACAATCTAGTGATTTTCATCATGCGCATCGATCCACGCAATTTGGATACGATGACATGCATCAACCAAGTCAGCAAGCCTTACCACCCGATCCCGTTAGTCGCCTCTTACGACAAGCATAGTCGCCTTTTACGGCATGCATAGGTTGCTGAAGACCTATTCTAACATATTTAACCTGCATTTGAGCAAAGATGTCTGATTCTGAATACGCGCGGTGTATAAATGTACAAATTAAATTCATAATATAACAATAATCATGACACTCGTCACGTCCGCTTAATCACATAGCTTGAAACAAGTGGGTAAACACATAGATCAGTCTTAATAAAAGCCACATAAGCTTTTGAATGACAAAACGAAAGCTTGACTAATTATAAACAGCCTGACTATTGGATAAAGCCTCTCTTTGTTGGTAGCAAAAAAATTGTTCGTACTCCTACTCCTCCCCCCATGACCGATACATTTCCGCCTGCCACTTGTAAAGTGTCAACTTGTGTACGTGCCGTTCACCATGGATGATGTCCCTTTCCGCCATACTGTTGGCAGGTGTAGTCGCCTACAGCACGACTCAGGTCAAATGTCTCCTATAATGCAGCTTCCGTGATGTTTTCTGGCGACAATACATACGTTTTACCATTAACACAAAGTCTGCTTTAAGACAGTATTCATTCACAATACACACATACTATCAAAATCTTTTAAACTCATTACTTGATTGAATTTATTTAATTATTTGAGTGAGTGAGTGAGTGAGTATGGTTTTACGCCGCTTTTAGCAATATTCCAGCAATATCACGGCGGGGGATACCAGAAATGGGCTTCACACATCGTACCCATGTCGGGAATCGAACCCGGGTCTTAGGCCTGACGAGCGAACGATTTAACCACTAGGCTACCCGACCACCCCAATTAATTATTTGACTGAACCACCCATTGCATTAATATCATAACAAACCGAAATGTATTCATTGATTACAGTAACACGACCGTAGGTACATATATCTTAGATTGTGTATATTACCTATCCATGAGTATCTATATTTTCATTATCTCATACTTTTAAATTTGAAAAAATGAAACTGAAATGAAAGACAAGATGCCAACGCCAAAGAATAACACAAATTTATATGAACACCAGGTGTTTGCGAAAGGGCAAGCAAGTCCTGCAAACAAACAATTATAAACATAATAGGTTATTGTATATAATGGTTTGTTGTAATTGTAACATTTCTACAGTTTACAAAGTTTCAAACAGTTAAATCTTTGTGTAGAGGTTGCTAATTTGTCTATGTCATGATTGAACAAAGGTAAAACATATTTGTGTACAGTGTACGTGATTTGATGAAATATCCCCCCTTTTCCCTCCTTGGTAAATAAGGAAGTTACTCTTACCCAAAACATCCCTGTTCCTATAAAACGCGTTGACGTACAGGGTTAGACGTAAATACACAACGTAACTGCAGCCGGTGAACATGAAGTTGGTTCTCCTGACCGTTTTGTTAGCTATTTTGCATCACAAATGTGTTTCACAGCTGGATTTTAATTTCGGCACAACAAATAACGGTTGTCTGTGTAGTCCTGAAATGACGTTGAACTGCCCTTTGTTGCCACGCCGTGGCTGTGAACCTGTTCGACGTCCGTGTGGTTGCTGCCCAGAGTGTGCGGCAAGAAGAGGTGCTATCTGTAACAGTTTTACTGCTCCGTGAGTGTCACCCCTCAGTTGATGATTTGACATTTGGTGTGTGTGTGTGTGTGTGTGTGTGTGTGTGTGTGTGTGTGTGTGTACGACCAGGCAATTTGGTACCCGTGAAGATCCGGGGTAGAATAGGTCTTCAGCAACCAATGCTTGCCGTAAAAAGCGACTATGCTTGTCGTAAGAGGCGACTAACAGGATCGGGTGGTCAGGCTCGCGGACATGGTTGATGCATGTCATCGATCCCAAGAGCGTGGATCGATGCTTATGATATTAATCACTTGATTGTCTGGTCCAGACTCGATTATTTACAGACCTCATATATCTGGAATATTGCTGAGTGCGGCGTTGGACAACAAACCAACCAACCAGGCAATTTGGGTTTTTTTCAACAGTCTGAAGCATAATTATTGTCAAGAATGTTCGGGGAAATAAGAATATCAATTGGTCGGTCCATAGTTAACATGCTAAATTTTATGTTAATGGTTATTATTTGAAGTTTTGATGCATGAAAACACCTTAGGCTACAACAGATTCTTTTTTTGAAGATCCCTGATTTGGGGATACTGAGATATATGTTTATTTCATATTCATTAAAACCTTTGACAAAGCAGCTAACATTTGTATATGTTGGGGCGTGGGTTTGAACCCCGAATGTTTACTTTACTACGAAAGTGTAATTCCAAATATCGCATATGTTACATTTGACTACTTTCTGAAAGGCATGGTCTATTCATCGTTAAAATGATCTTTCCTTTTTCAAAGAAGAGAAGTATTGGTTTGCTCTGCTTGTTATTTATTTCCCAGAGTAGTATTAATAATGAAGGTGAGGTGAAATGGGGTTAAACGTCGCGTCCAAGATTCTTGCACATATATAGCGACGTGCACGCACGTGTGTGTGTGTGGCTGCTTGTCCGGACTGATGCCGATTTATAGTGCTAGCCCACTGAGATACCATGCCGCAGTTTAACATGAATACCCCACTCAGACACAGTATACGGACTCCGAGCCGACCAGTCCTTGTTTCAGCCCATTAGTGCCGAGCGCTAGACAGGGTAACAACAAGTACCATCTTTTAACGTCTTTTGGTATGACGCGGTCAGGAATCGAACCCCGGACCTTCCACTAGACCACGGAGGCGGTCATTAATAAGGAAGATATGCCTTGTATATTCATACATGTGTATCGTTAAACATATAACTATTAAATCTTGTCTTATACAGTACATGTAATCTCTTTTTTTTATCCTTTACAAATCTTACCACTTTTGTAATATGATAAATTTGTGTTTCAGGTGTGGAAAAAGTTTATTGTGTGTTCACAACAACGGAACTGTTGCTAAGAAAAACATTCGATGGAACGAGTTTGATTTCGTTGGAACGTGTAGGAGACTGTAAGTTTATTACTTTCTTGATTGTCCGAGATTAAATATAAGCGATTATAGTTAAGAAATAAGCGACGAGTGGGCGTTGTTTATCGTACAATAAAACACTGCAGGGAGAATGAACGAAGAGGGGGGCAGTCGTTTATTTCTTATAGGAGATATCATTATTATGTACAGCGTCTTTTTGGATGTAAAATGAACACGCTTTAAATATATAAGGCCTTTGAAAGGCATTTAGAAGTGATACACATAAGGAATAGAATATATGGATGTCAACTTCTTTATTATGAGGAACACAACGTTTCGGAGTATATGCTTACTCAGGTAAATGAATGCCATGCGGCAGAGAGCATATATATGTTGGCTTCCCTTGTTAGTTTCTACCCTTTGTTATTTTCAAACCTTTTGTTATCTTATTAATTTCGTTGTCCTTACATGTACATATATATGCCCTCTACCTAGTCGCATTCATTCACCTGATAAAGGAGTAAGCATATACTCCGAAACGTTGTAATAGGGGGAACGCCTATTTTTTTCGCAATAGGCGACTAACGTGATCGGGTAGTCAGGCTCTCTGACTTGATTGATGCATGTCTTCGTATCCCTATTGCGTAGATCGATGCTCATGATGTCAATCACTGGATTGTCTGGTCCATACACGATTATTTGTAATCGGCATCATATTACTGGAATATCGTTGAGTGCGGCGTTAAACAAGAAACAAACAATATGGCCCCGACTTCAAAGTCTCGGTGTCTCTTGAAGTGACGAAGCTGTAACAGTGGTAAAGGGGCTCACCTCATTCACTTTTAATATGGAACGATATTCAAAAACACCTAAACCTATCGGGTTATAAAATCGGCCTTTTTTGATTATTGCAAAACGAACATATTTGTAAACGTTTTTGGTTTTGTTTACCAATAAGCAGCAGAATCTCAGCACTGTCCACAGTTGACGTAATTCAAACTTAACATTCCGTTTTAAGTTTCCACAAACACTACACGCGCTATCGTGTGACTGGATTTCCTGTCCATCACTTTACTGTCAGGTTTGTTTACATGCCACCGTCGCATGACAGGAGTACTGCTGTGTGGGGCCAAGCAATGAACGCATACATGTACCTGTCCTAGGCAGTGAATGAGTTTATGCTTTACGGCAATATTTCAGCCATATCGTGACCAGAAGTTATACATTTTTAATACATATATTTAAACTAAATAAAACCTGTCACCGATGGACAGTACAATTACTAGAATATCACAGATTAATGTTTAAAACTAGCATACAATCATAAAAAGATATCACTTAATAAAACAGTACATTATAAGAAAGGGCTAATGATCGCTAGCAGCTGAAGGTAGATCACCATGCTAGGGTCCATGGGGACTTACAGTACTTTTGCTACCTGCATGGACCCCAGCCGGGTTTACATCATCCCCCTCAGCTGTTGGCGATTATTGACAAATGTAGCCAGATTAAGGGAACATATATTCTACGATTAAAATTGTGGTGGGAAAAATTACTTTGGATGACGTGGTCTGACCTACTCTGGGGGGCAATTATTTTACACTACTTTAACCCCAATCAAGGGTACAGCAACAAACAATCTTAGTCTCAAACAAGTTTCTTTCTACAAATTCTAAAATGTTTTTTAATTACAAAACATATAATCAAAATTTATTTAATAATTCTATTTCTTTAAAAAACCAAATTGAATAATGAAATGACTACTTACCCGATTAAAAAGACCCTAGAGCGAAAAAACTTTGAAATAGTTATCCCTTGTGATGGAAACATCAATACTGTCAAGCAGGACATGCGTGACCGTGATTCTTTCATCACAAGGGATTCAGCATGGAGGATCTTCGCCTTTTTTCCTGGATCCAGTGATAGTGGCGTTGGCAACAACATCACCATCCTTGGATCCATCAGTAAAAATAGATTTGTAAGTAATATATTCACTTCTTAACTGATTATATTCTTGTTGATATTGTAGTCGATTAGTGTCAGATTCTTTAGTTTGGATAAGGTAAGATCCACCTGTGGCTTTACCAATTGCCAAGGAGGAGAGGAAATCAGGCGAAAAGGAGATATATTTTCAAGTTTAATATCGGCAGCAGAAATAAAAGGTTTTATTCTTAATCCGAGAGGCGGAATAAGAGAGAACTTCTTACTATACAGGTCCTCATAAAGAGGATTCAATACACAGTTGTATGCAGGGTTAGACAGATTTAAAAAAATAACTTTGTGATGTACTGTAGAGATAGTTGAGAACGGCGTAGTTTAAGTGGCGGCTCATCTGCCTCAACATACAGACTGTCAATGGGAGAAGTTCTGAAAGATCCAAGGCAAAGCCTTAGACCCTGGTGATGTATGGGATCGAGTTATTTAAGGTTACTTTTACAAGCTCCATCACAGATGATGGAGCCATAATCGAGCTTTGAACGAACAAGTGATCTCTATAAGTGAAGGAGGGTCGTTTGATCTCCTCCCCACTTGGAATTAAAAAAACCTTTAATAAATCTAGTGTTCTGCGCAAATTGTGGCCAGTGCTACAAGGAGGGCTGCACAAACTTACACGTTTCGCGAACAACTGGTATCATCACTGAACTTCAGTGATCCATTCATACTTTCGCCGCTACTTTTGTCTTTTAAACCCAATGGAATCTGTTTTACCAGTTAATAGCGACTGCTTATTCTCTGGCCTTAACGTCTTATACATACTCAAAAACAAAAGTTCCTGTGACACCAATATTTTAGTGTATTTTTCAAACAAGTAAAGTTTGGTTTTCAATATTGTAATACATTTATGGATTCAAGTCCGTAAAACGCAACTGCTACAGAAAAGCATGCATTCCATGCAAAAGTTTACTTTTATGCAAGCCCCATGCATTTCACTACCCAAGAATTGGTAAAAAAAACATGTGCGTTAACGGGATTCCATATGCATTGTTTAGCATCGTGCTGACGACAACCACTCAGAAAAACAACAAAGTTACGCAATTATTCAACATTACGAAATGCCATGGCTGTCCGAAAATGAGCGTCTGCGAGCCATTGGTATGCTTGAAGCAGGATGATTGAGCTTGATGTTGCAAGACAATTTAACGTCCGAAGAAACACCATTTGGTGTTTATGGCAACGTTGGCAACAGACGAATGCAGTCAGAGACCATCTTCGGAGTGGCAGACCACACGTAACCAATAATCGACAACTGGATTCGAACAACACACCTACGAAACGATTCCAGCCAGCAACAGTGACTGCAAGAAGCATTCCTGGCCTTCGACGAATATCTTCACAAACCGTACGTCGTCGCCTCAGATGTGCAGGGATTGTCGCCAGAAGACCCGATATTTTGACAGGAAACCACCGTCAAGCACGTCTACAGTGGTGCAGACAGCGTCTACGCTGGACGGCCAAGCAGTGGGGACAAGTTCTATTCACTGACGAGTCTCTTTTTCACCTCAGCCACAGCGATGGACGGATTCGAGTGTACCGACGTCGAGGTGAACGTTACGTCAAACATTGTGTTATGGAAGAAGATCGGTTCGGGGGCGGCAGAGTTATGGTATGGGACGGGATTACAGCCAGACAGAGGACCAGTTTGATAGTGGTAGAGGGAAATCTCAATGGACAGCGCTACCGCGACGAGATCTTCCGCCCTGTTTTTCTACCGTTTTCGAATCGTCATGGCCCAGGCACTACCTTTCAACATGACAACGCCCGGCCTCATATTGCTCGACTTGTTCAGGATTCTCTTCAACAAAACAACGTGACTGTCATCCCCTGGCCGGCTCGCTTACCTGATCTCTCACCAATCGAGCACATGTGGGATGAGACGGATCGGCGCCTTCGACGTCAACTACGTGTTCGAAACATGCTCCAGCAGATATCCCACAGGACTTTGTGCGACGCCTGGTCCATTCCATGAGACGAAGATGTGTTGCTTGCATCGCAACCAGAGGAGGACACACACGCTATTGATTTGTAAATTGACATTTTGGCATGTTCATGTTCTTTATGAAATCACGCATTTTCTGAACTGAAACCATTTGAACACTTACAGGAGTCTTTTATCTGTTGCAAACCGAAATTGTTTCAGATTTGGTAAAAAACATTACTTTGCATTAAATCATATTCAATGTCACAGGAACTTTAAATTTTGTTGTTCAGTATATATTGTCCGTGTGAATCTAAGACCGCATCATCAAGATGACACACAGTGACATAACTGAAATATTATTCAAAGCCGCGTAAAACTAAACAAACTAATTTATTTATACATTCAAAACCGTTTTAATTGGTCCCAGATGTCTATTATTGAGTCGATAGCAGTATTATGAAGAGGACGGATTTCATTTGTGCAACGTTACTCTTACTTTTCTTTTCTTTTGTTAAGTCCCTGCAGCTGGTTAGAATAAGTCTTCAGCAACCCATGCTTGCCGTGATAGGCGACTATGCTTGTCGTAATAGGCGACTAACGGGATCGGACGGTCAGGCTCGCTGAATTTGTTGATGCATGTCATCGTATCCCAATTTGCGTGGATCGATGCTCATGTTGTCAATCACTGGATTGTCTGGTCCAGATTCGATTATTTACAGACCGCCGTCATATAGCTGGAATATAGCTGAGTGCGGCGTTAAACAACAAACAAACAAACCTTTTTCAAGTCATCATTATTCGTCGTTTCAGATGTTGATACAGGAAAGTCGACGGATGCAAGGAGTCAGGAGACAAGAACTACCCTCGGTCCGCCGTACCTTGTTTTATGATTATTCGCCATGTTTTGTTCTTCATTTTACGTACGCATCTTTAAGCACACATGCTGGTTAAGTTTTGTATTAAAGCACTTTCAACATGCTGCCGTATTTACCTGTACACTGTTGTGGTTTGGAAAGAAATCACTGGTTGGTTGGTTGTTTAACGCCGCACTCAGCAATAGTCCAGCTATATGACTGCGGTCTGTAAATAAGCGAGTCTGGACCAGACAATCCAGTGCTTAATATCATGAGCATCGATCCACGCAATTTGGATCGATGAAATGCATCAACCAAGTCAGCGAGCCTGACCACCCAATCCCGTTAGTCGCCTCTTACGACAAGCATAGTCACCTTTTACGGCAAGCGTGGGTTGCTGAAGATCTACTCTACCCCGGATCTTCACGGGTCAAGAAATCACTGACGTATGTAATTCAAATTAACCAAGGTTAGCAACATTAAGATTTCAACTGACGGTTCACACATCTGTACAAAACAACCGAGTCCCGCCTCCATGGTCAAGTGGTAGAGCGTCTGCCCGGGGTGCGAAATGTCGGAAGTTCGATCCTCGGCCGCATCATACCAAAACACGTTAAAAGATGGTACGTGTTGTTACATTGCCTGGCGTTCGGAATTTCGGAAAAAATAAGGACTGGTCGGCTCGGAATTGGTATACCGTGTTAGAGTGGGATACATATGTTCAAATGCGGCAGACCAGTGAAGATCGCTGACTTGGTTGATGCATGTCATCGATCCCAATTGCGTGGATCGATGCTCATGATATTATTCACTGGATTGTCTCGTCCAGACTCGATTATTTACAGACCGCCGTCGTATAGCTGGAATATTGCTGAGTGCGGCGTTAAACAACAAACCAACCAACCATCAAATGCGGCCTGGCATCTCAGTAGGCTAGCTCTACAACACCGACATTAGTCCGGGCTAGTACAATAACTACGCACTCTTATCTCTCTCTCTTTCACACACTCTCTCTCACAGCAGAATCTCTGCACTGTACACATCAGACGTAATTCAAACTTAACATATCTTTTTTAGTTTCCACAAACACTAAACGCGCTATGGTGTGACTGGAGTTCCTAAGGAAGTCCATCACTTTACTGTCAGGTTTGTTTACATGCCACCGTCGCATGACAGGAGTACTGCTGTGTGGGTTGGTTGGTTGCTTGCTTTGTTGTTTAACGCCGCACTCAGCAATATTCCAGCTATATGACGGTGGTCTGTAAATAATCGAATCTGGACCAGACAATCCAGTGATTAATATCATGAGCATCGATCCACGCAATTGGGATCGATGACATGCATCAACCAAGTCAGCAGAGCCTGACCACCCGATCCCGTTAGTCGCCTTTTACGGCAAGCATGGGTTGCTGAAGACCTATTCTATTCCGGAATCTTCACGGGTCTTTTCTTTGTGGGGCAAAGCATACATATGTGGACTTACTGATGAAATGTACACATGCATAGACTGCTCCATAAAATTTGAAATTTTAGTCTTAAGTCCTTCTTCTCATCTTTAGCAACTGATGTAACCTTCTGAATAAACCCTGCTTGTCAAAATCAGTTATGTGGAAACAATATTACTTACTCTAAATAATATACTGTCTTTCACAAATGTACCATTGTGTAACAATAAATATAAAGTTATCTCATGTTGATATGTTTACGCGTGTATATGAATGTATTGATGGATGTGGTTTGTTGGTTGGTTGGTTGGTTGTTTTACGCCGCACTCAGCTGACTCAGTGACTGTGGTCTCTAAACAATCGAGTCTGGACCAGACAATCCAGTGAATGATATCATGTGCATCGATCCACGCACTTGGGAACGATGACATGCTTCACGTGAAGATATGTGTACGAGTTGTTCGCATTACTTATATATCATTTCCCTGCATTATTCACATATCACAATATAATGAAATATATGTAGAAGGCAAACAAGATTTTTAAAACGTATCTGAGCAGTGTTTTCTGCATAGTGACTCTATATAAATATGTTATACCTGGCAAACCACACGATAGCTGGCACACATGGCACGAATGACAAATTCCTTTTCTGTTAAAATTCATTGCGTCGTTGAATTTGCATACCTTAAAGCAGAACACAGGTTGGTTTGAAGTTCTTTATTTAATCGTCAGTTGCAACGATGATCTGTGAGTGAGTATGGTTTTACGCCGCTTTTAGCAATATTAGTCAACCTCTATTCCCTGAACGAGAAAATAGAACAATATAAGACGAGGACAATGTTCAGTTGGATTTATTTGGTCAAAGAACAGCACATTTGGAATAGTGATAACTTCAAACACTCTTGTCATAGTTTTCTGAGGGAACGTAACCTACTTGATTGCGTTGATAGAATTCCACACACGCCCGTGAAGGTATCGTCCCAGAACAGTTTCAGCCGTGATGTTGCTTCGTTCCCATCTATCTTTATGCACAATAAGCCATTCACGCACCTGTTTCAGAAAGGGGCATGTATTGGTAGACATGACATAATTCAAGGTCGTACCTGCAATGCCAAAACTCTTTTCGTGTTGTTTAGGCATATGTACAGACACGAAATTAACTTCCGTTCCACAAAACGATGCAAGGGTTGAATAACTTCTTTCATAAACACGTCCCCTCCTCTGGACCACGCCTCCTAGTCCTCCAGTTGACCACAGCAAGTGTGAGTGAGTGAGTGAGTTGGGTTTAACGCCGCTTTTAACAGTATTCCAGTTATATCGCGGCGTGTCAGCTTAATGTGGGAGGAAAGCCCGAAGTGATGCAGGTCTCAGACGTTTACCACTTCGGTGAAACCCACGAGCACGGGTATGGTGCTGACAAACCTAGAAACATAATCATGGCGAACCGAGATTCGAACCCACAATCATAAGTTTCTGGCGTGTCCAAGGGACGCAACTCTGCACAGCGAATCGCGGCGCCTTAGACGACTGGGCCATCCGTGCCCCCCACACAGCAAGTGTGACTCCCAAAAACTAAACTGTCCTTGCTTCTGTGAGGTTGTGCCTATTTAGCACTTGACCAAATATTTAGTTTATGCGGTAGCATCAGTAAAGTCTATATTATCAGTAAAATATCCCGAACAACCATCAGGGTTCGGAAGCGTAGTGGGGCCACGGTTAAATCTTTTTTGTCTAAGTATCCCCTACGTAGGAGACCCGTGAAGATTCCGGGGTAGAATATGTCTTCAGCAACCCATTCTTGCCGTAAAAGGTGACTATGCTTGTCGTAAAAGGCGACTAACGGGATCGGGTGGTCAGGCTCGCTGACTTGGTTGATACATGTCACCGATCCCAATTGCGTGAATCGATGCTCATCCTGTCAATCACTTGATTGTCTAGTCCAGACTCGATTATTTACAGACCGCCGTCATATAGCTGGTATATTGCTGAGTGCGGCGTTCAACAACAAACCAACCACAACCAACCAAATCCTACGTAGGACTTAGTATTTGGTTTGGTTTGACCTATTCTACCTCGGAATCTTCACGGGTTGTAATACTCACTGGTTAAATCCAGAGCAGGGCTTCCCGATTCTCTGACCACAAATGTCACAGCAGTCACAGAGATCTTTGATCTGCTGGCGTACAGGGCATTTGGGGCTGGCGCACTTGTCTTGTTCACATGGAACGCAAGACAGGCCATTAGACTCATCTACGAAGACCATACCGAGTATGACTACTACCATCAAGAAGATACGGCTCATTGTTGCTGTAGTATGTTGCGATATCTCAGTTGGAAGCTTAGCTGACAGAGCTCACCTACTGCAAGCTGTGGGATAAATAACTTTCAATACGTCACCTTGCAATTTATAACCTGTGTGCTGGTCGGTGTCAATCAAGCACCGAGACTACAGATGACTGACGCTACAGTAGGTACCACGCCCACATGACGGGTGGTCTGGCCATGACCAGAAAATATTAACGATGTGCCCATTGGTGAGCTGCAGTCGTTCTTTTCAAAGCTTATTTGCATTTCCACACAAGGACGTTTGTTATGTACCAAGTTTACAATTTCGTGAAAATATACTCTGCAAAAAAATGAAACGCAAAAGTCATTTTTAGATGTCATATTAATAATCATCAGATGGTAATCTATTGTTCAACATTGGTATACATAATTGCCATTTATCCAGGTTCCACATTAAACACATGCAACAGTTGATTTTTAAGGTAGAGCTCATATGTTCTCAATATCTTGTTTGGCCACCATCAGAGTCCAAAACTGACTGGCGTCGTCGTCCCATGGGAGCAGTCAGATCCCAAATTGTGGCCAAGGGAATCTTCACCCACAGAGAAGTCTCTGTCTTTTGCTGAAGCGCTCGCAGTCATGGATAAGAGATATTAGTTTCCAGTAATAGTTGTATAATAATAATAAATGGAAATTACTACCCGTAGTAGAGTAAGACTATAGATGTTATGACCGCTGACGATCTTGAAGGACGGTTGGGGTTAGAAGGGAAATTTCAAAGATGACGTTTTTGGATCGTCACTGCGTATGACGGAGTCTGTCCCACTCCTCTTGCAGTTCCCCTTGGTCCCCAATAGGTGATCTTACCCTTGTTGCTGGCGATCTATAGCCCCATTTTTATATTGTGTCGTACCTTAATAATCAGAAATCTTTAGTGTTCTACACCTAGTTTTGGGTCAATCTGTGATATATTGCTGGTTATTATACTGTCCCTCGTCGACAGTTTTTATACCTATTGTATAACTTGTTCAAGTCACATTATGGCTGAAATATTGCCGACGTGACTTTAATTAAACTCACTCACACTCACTCTTGCAGTTCAACAAGTTCAGCCAAAGTGGTGGGCTGCCTACGACGTTGACGCACACGCCTCCCTAGCATGTCCCAACCGTGTAGGGAAAAGGTCAGGGCTCATTGCTGGCGATGGCGTTCCATGGATGTTGTCCTGCTGGAGGTGGACATTGACGAATCGTGCACGATGAGCATGGACGTTGTCGTACTGTACTGAACTACACGCCTAGCAAACGGGACAACACAATGTCAGTATGTTGTCCCGATAGTACTGTCCAGTGACCATGCCTTGCACGATATGGAGTTGGGTTCGTTCAGTCATAGTGATGCCACCCCACACCGATCCACCCCAAAATCTGTCATTAGGTCCATCTTGACATTGGCTTGACCTTCATTTCGACGTCACCAGACACGATAACGCCAATGATCAATGAAGTGCAAAGTGATTAGGGGGTCATTTGAAAAAATGACACGTAACCCAAGTGACGTTGTTTACATTATTGACGTCTGTTCGAAAATTTTTGAGGGGCGGCACAACACATGCCCATCGAGCATGCAGATGAGCTGCATGTAGACGATTTTTAATTTTTAATGTAGACTCGTGATCCAGTAGCCTGATGAAAGTTTTCAGCAATTTGATCCATTTGAACTTGATTTCGTAGAGCCTGTTTCGGTTCAATCGATCCTGTACTCTTGTCGTTGATCTGAACCACAGTGAACGGGTTGATCAACATATTGGGTTTTGTTGGTACCTCTTCTATATTCAGCTTTTCACGGAATGTTTTCGCCAGTCTCCAGCATGCCAAAAGCCCGTAGACGCTCCGCGCGTTGCAGATACCGCATCGCAAGTTCATACACAAATAATGAATGAAATCATCACAAGTACATCACAACTGCATGATAAGCAGAATCAATCAGATTGACAGAAATAATTATCATCAGAGTTTTATCAACCTTCCTTGAAAGTGTCAACATTAGGAATGACACACTACGCACGTGTATGGCGCTACTTTGAGGCACATGTAAACTGTAGGATGTGTTTATGATATTACAGTCAGAGAGGCGTTCTTACAATGGATGTTTGTCGTCAACAATAATTTGTTGTTAAACGCCGATCTCAGCAGTATCCCAGCTCTATGATGGCGGTCTGTAACTAATCGAATCTGGACTAGACAGTCCAGTGTTTGACCTCATGAACATCAATTCACGCAATTGGGATCGATGACATGCATCAACCAAGTCAGCGAGCTTGACCACCCGATCCCGTTAGTCGCCTCTTACGACAAGCATGGGCTGCCAACAGACACTTCATTTTCAGATTCTGTAGTAATCTAGATTTCAGCCTTGCCAAATATTATAGACTTGCCTGGGCTGTGTTGAAGATATGTTTCATGGTCTGTTTGACAGACAAAAAACAATAAAGTGCTATTTTATAATACATCATTACCATCATGTGTAGATCTAGGTTTGTGGAAGGTCTGCAAGTTTTTTGTGCAAGCTGTGGGTGCATCTGAACCTTCTGTGAAGGATTTTAGCATGAGTAGCATATATGCTAGACGTCATTAATGAAAATCATCTTGGCTAGCAGGAAAAAACATTTCTTAAAATTATACAGAAATGACAGAATAATCATACACACCAAGCAGTGTTGAGTGCTCTACATAGTCCTCTGTCCGAAAATGCTTCCCACAACGATGTCATAGTTTCCCGGCTCCCACACTTTTTTGAGACTTCGTCCATGTGTTTAATTGCGATCCTCCATTTCATCCGGTCAGCTTGATCTCGAGGGAAAATGTGTCCTCGATCGTGAATTGCAGCCAGGTACACAACAATCCTGTTGGTTGGTTGGTTTGTTGTTTTACGCCGCACTCAGCAATATTCCAGCTATATGACGGCGGTCTGTAAATAATCGAGTCTGTGAATCGATCCTGTGAATGATATCATGAGCATCGATCCATGCAATTGGGATCGATGACATGCTTCAACCAAGTCAGCGAGTCTGATCACCCGACCCCGTTAGTCGCCTTTTACGACAAGCATGGTCGCCATTTACAGCCAGCATGGGCCCGTGAAGATCCGTGGTAGAATAGGTCTTCAGCCGTCTTGAGCCGCCTTGACAGAATACAGTACACAGCCGTAATGTTTGTTTGTTTTTTTTCGCCGCACTCAGCAATAATTCAGCTATAGGACGGCGGTTAGCCGTAATGCTAACCACAGTACTTCTAGTGAAGTACCTGTAGCATCTGCAGACGTAATGCTAACCACAGATGCAACAACAGGTACTTCACTAGAAGCACTACAAGTAGAAACAGGAGAACTCTCTTTGAAACTAAGAAGAGAGCAGGCAATATTTTGTTCTGGGGACGAGCATGAAACCCCTTGATGAAAAAGATATGGCAAGACAAAATCACCCCAGAACCCTATCAACAACACTGCTGGTTACGGAATTCATATCCATAGCTCAAAACCCCAAGCACATTGGGTTCGCCTGCCTGATGGTCAGTATTAACTGCTAAAAGCAATTGATCATGCACTCAAACTCATACCGGAACTACCGAAGGCAAGGCAGTCACTTGAAGCCATCAGCGGCAGTCACTTGAAGCCATCAGCGGCAGAAACTCAAACTCCAGGCCAAACACAGTCAATGCTATTCTATACGAATATACAAAACTACCGGACCAATGGCAACAGGTCGAAATGTTTTGGATCCCGTCTCACATAGATGTTCGTTGAAATGAAAACGCAGACACACTTTTACCTTACGTAAATTAGAGATAAATAGCAAAACCATGGCCTCCAAAGAAGGCAAGACCAGTGGGGACCGTGAAGATCCGGAAGGGAATAGGTCTTCAGTAACCCATGCTTGTCGTAAGAAGCGACTAACGGTATCAGGCTGACTTGGTTGATGCATATCATCGTATCCCAGTTGTGTAGATCGATGTTCATGAAGCTGGATTGTCTGGATTGACCCGATTATTTACAGACAGCCGTCGTTCAGCTTGAGTGTTGCTGAGCGCGGCGTTAAAAAACAAACAAAGACAAGCCGATTGTGACGCAAGTAAGATGGCTAAACAAAATTCAACCCAAGATCCACCAAAATCCATACTCATACACAAATGAAAGGAAAATTGAAATTGCCATCTCACGCCTCAGACTCGGTTACAAAAAGCACTATTGCAAGGTATGTCCATCTTGCAATCAACCTGAATCCACTTGTTACTAGAATGCCCCATCATCAAGACCATGCCCCAGAACGTGCTTGGTTCAAACAAGAATTGTAGTTAGATGAGCTAACTGTCGTAGATCTCCTAAATCCAAGAGATGCAATAGCGAAGGCCAAACTAACTCCATTTCTGAGTGATGGACAGCTACTCGAACGTATATAAACAGAGCAGCCAAAGATAAAAATGAAATCATATCAATATACGGAAATAGAAATCATATCAATACAAAAACAGAAATTATACGAGCACTGAAACTCGCAATCGATATGTTAACATAGGTGTGCAGCCAAGAATCAGTCTACCGTGACTAGAGTCACACATGCCTAAAGAGGTTACTTGACTAAGAAACCAGGTTAATTGACTTGTTTGATCGAGCGGTGATGTAGACCATAACAGGTGGTACAAAATATCATCTGGTTCTGGACAGGCTATTTACTGACCAAATCTCAACTCTCAATTCACTGACTTTCAATTGGAGATTGAAAATTAAATGGTATGGTCAAAAGGTCACTGCGCCACAAACGGGGTGAACTCTTGGCCGCCCTGCCAAGAGGGCAAGGCTCGATCGCCCGGTAAACACAGCAGGTTAGCTGGTTTGTTGTTTAACGCCGCACTCAGCAATATTCCAGCTGTATAACGGCGGTCTGTAAATAATCGAGTCTGGATCAGACAATCCAGTGATAAATACCATGAGCATCGATCCAAGCAATTGGTTGGTTGGCTGTTTAACGCCGCACTCAGCAATATTCCAGCTATATAACTGCGGTCTGTAAATAATCGAGTCTGGACCAGACAATCCAGTGATTGATATCATGAGCATCGATCCACGCAATTGGGATCGATGACATGCATCAACGAAGTCAGCGAGCCTGACCACCCGATCCCGTTAGTCGCTTTTTACGACAAGCATAGTCACCTGTTACGGCCAGCATGGGTTGCTAAAGACCTATTCTACCCCGGAATCTTCACGGGTCTCCACGCAATTGGGATCGATGACATGCATCAACCAAGTCAGCGAGCCTAACCACCCGATCCCGTTAGTCGCCTTTTACGACAAGCACAGTCGCCTGTTACGGCAAGCATGGGTTGCTGAAGACCTATTCTACCCCGGATCTTCACGGGTCTGCTTAAAGTGGGACAGCAATCTTGCCTGCTGTGACATTGCTGCGACCAACGCGATTCGGCCATTTTTCGATAATGCGACATCTGCTAAACATGACCTAGGGTATTGCTTTGTTTGTTTGTTGTTTAACGCCGCACTCAGCAATATTCCAGCTATATGACGGCGGTCTGTAAATAATCGAGTCTGGACCAGACAATCCAGTGATTGATATCATGAGCATCGATCCACGCAATTGGGATACGATGACATGCATCAACCAAGTCAGCGAGCCTGACCGTCCGAACCCGTTAGTCGCCTTTTACGACAAGCATAGTCACCTTTTACGGCAAGCATTGGTTGCTGAAGACCTATTCTACCCCGGAATCTACACAGGTCCTAGGGTATT